CGGGGCTTTTGCAGGTACAGCCTTTATTTTTGGGTGATACCACTCTTAACGCACCGGACCGCATTACTAACAGGGACTGAGATGGCAAGCAACAATTGCACCAGCATCATTGATTTTAGCATTACAAATGCACAACAGTCAAGGGTGTCCTGGTGATACATATTGTAAAATGCAGTGCAGGCTGTAGCCATGGCAACTTACACATCTCATGTTATAATCCCCTCTTTCAACATGAAAGCATGTCCTAATTCATTTTTTACAAGAGAGGTGGACACACGGTTCTGCCCACACCTCAGGTTTATGAGGTCAAGGCTATAGACCAATGATTGCTCAGGGTGCGGGTGGCACACTCGAGGAGGAACGGCAGGGAAGGGCATCCTTTGGCCCAGGCAGCCTGCATAGGAGCTGCCTCCCAAGCCCTGTCCCCTGACCTGGGGAGAGTATTTCCTCATTAACCCCCATCTCTGATCTGAGACTGGGGATCACAACAGAATGCTCTATCAAGCAAAGAGTTAAGAATATGTATTTGTAAGAAGTGAAGGCCTTTTCTAATATAACCTTCTCCCCAACATACTTGAAGACTGTAAAAAATAACCTTTGTAAAATTTCCCAACCTGCCTAAATTCCAAAGAATTTTCAGGCTCGCTTGTTTGTTTGATTGATTGATTTATATCCCACCTTTTTTACTGTAAAGAACTCAAAGCTGCTTAAATCATTCTCCTCCTCCTGCTCTTGGTCTTATCCCACAGCAACAACCCTGTGAAGTAGGTTGGGCTAAGAATCTGTGGCTGTCACTCAGTTGGCTCCATGACCGAGCAGGGACTAGAACCCAGATCACCTGAGTCCCAGCCCTGTACTCTTAACCACTACACCACACTGGCTTGCCAGGAGCATTACTGTATTGACCATTTAGTGAGATTCCACTAGAAAATAAAATGTGCCCTTGTGCTGAGGGCTAAGCATTATCAAAATGCTACAATCAGGATTTGATTCTTCCTTTGTGGAAGACATTTGTGGTGGATCAGCTGGTGCTTTGTTCTAATGTTGCATAAGCAACTTCACACCACACACTAAACTTAATAAACTAAGAGCAGAGCTTTGTTTTCACTTTAATCTGACAAACACCTGGTTTCCCTGCTTCCTGGGGGGCTCAGCAGCGGCACGTGTCTCTGGAGGCTTTGAGAAGGGCCCGAGTTCCCTGGCTGGTCGCAACACCGTGCCACCAGATTTTTCCTTACAGCTCAACTGCCTGATGCCTGTAGCATTCCCCCCCCCCCCCCCACCCGCCGCTCAGTCTGTTTTGCAGCCAGGGTGTGCCTATCACTTCCCGAAGGCTCTCTCCAGTTTAAGTGGCTGGAACTGGAATTTCCCTCCAATTCCCCACCTCAAACAGCCGGAAACCTCACCAGAACTGCAGACAGCTTTCCTTCCATTGCTCCTTCAGCTGTCCTCTCTTAATTCTCTACATGAGAAGGGAATCTCCCTGCCACTCTTCCCCCTTATGCTTCCTCTGGGGCATGGCAGGGAGCTTCAGTCTATAGAAGTGTGTGTGGGCAGTGGGGGGGGGGGGTCCCCCAGGCACTGCCCCTTTCTAAGACATTCTCTATTTCTCTGCACTCAAGACAGTGTGGTCTACTTTTGAGTAAACACCATTTAAAATAATGTGATTTACTTCTTGGTAGATAGGCTTATACAAGAACTTCAGTCTGACTTATTTCTGAGTAATTAGCCAATAAAATTGAGATGTCTCCCTTGCAAAATTTATGGGGCATCCCAGGCAGGGTGATAGACACATCGGATACATGCCAAATGAAGAGCTTCCTTCTGTCACTGGGATTCCCATCCAGTTTTGCAGCTCCCTCCCCCATACTAGCCAGGGGGAGCACTAGTAAAACTATGGGTCAAGTAGGGATACCAGATCTCTCCCCACACACCAGGAGAGGGTGGAAGGAGCCTTTTCTTCAGAGCACACTGCAGCTGCCCTCTCCCAAACTGTTGGATCGGACAGGACATTGTGAGGCAGGGGAGGGGAGAAATCCTCACCAGTCGTCTGTGCTAGGCACTGGAGAGGGTGGGGACAGCTGATTTTGGGCAGCAGCTGGCACCATGGACAGTACTTACCCCAGTGCCCCCTGGTTTTTTTTTTTACCCATCTGCCCTCTTTACACAAATGGGGCAATTTGGTGAAGGAATATATGGCCATTTTTTGCACAACAAGGATCACCGAAATTCTTTTTTTAAAAGGAAGGACAATGGGCATGCCCTCCAAAGCATCATGAGGGGCCATTAGAAACATACCTGGATGATTTGCCCACCTTAGGATCATGAAGGAGAGCTTGACAGCCCATTTTCATGATCGCCCTCCCCCCACCCCCACCTTTTACAATGTCAAACTCGGGTGAACCCAAAAGCAGATCTTCCAGATTCAGATAATACAAAAAGCCATGCAAGGTCAAGCAAATCCTACAAAAAGTCACGGCTCATAAATCCACATGGGCATTACACTCGTTTCAGACAACTCTGTGCTTCTGGGGCTCCATCACCACAGCAGTTTAACATGCCGTGCAAACCCAATCATTAGCTCAAATTAGTTCAACTTGTGCAAACTGGACCATGAATAAAGCATTTACACTGTGCGATGCTTTCTGTTATGTTTATGTTTTCTGAAGTCTGATGCTACATCAGTATTTTGTGTGTCTACATTTGTTCAATCAATAGCTCTCATAAATGTTGCTGTGCAGGGCACTCTACTGTTTATGGGTCGTTTGCCTTGCCGATCTCCATTGTCTCTTCTTCTCCCCACTGACACTCCTCCTATAGGTGGCCTCAGTGGCCAAGAGAGACTTGATCAGCTTTGACTGAAATACTGGCAGTGTCCTTGTCTGGACAGAGAGTGCATGTTTTGGGATTGTCACGACATTTTGTACATGGGGTGACATTTAAAAATGGTCAGAATGCTTCAGTTAGTTCTAAATATGTAAGCTGCTCAGCTACTAATGGGGACTGATGGGGTGACCATGTGATGGCAATGCTCTGTCACTTGCATTGGCTTCCAGTCCATTTCCAAGCCCATTCAAATATGGCTCTGGGGCCAGAATACCTAAAGAGAACACCTTATAGCATACATACATGACTAGAGCTTTAAGTTATCCTCAGGGGTTCTCCTCTGGACAGGTGGGTTTTCTCAGTTGAGACACCCCTCCCCAAGGAAGATCGTCTGGTGCCTACAGGGGTTTATTTTTTCAGTGTTCAAAGAAGACATTTGCTCTCTCCCAGGCACTTTAAATTTTAGATTCTCAATCTTACAGTTTAGGTTGGCTCACAGAATGGATGTTTTTAATCTAGTTTATGGGTGTGACCCAGGCTTCCTCCCTTCCAGCAGTGGCTTGTGACCAGCCACAAGCAATTTTTTGACAAAGGTCACCAGCCACAAGTCGCTTCTTAACAGAACTCTATTACTTCTACATATAAATTATGCCTCCAAGCATCTAGATTTTATGTATACTATTTTTATGTTTATTTATTGTATGGAAGCCGTCCTGAGGCTTATGAGAATGGGACGGCATACAAAAACTCCAAATAAACAAACACACACACACACACACACACAAAGTGGTTAGTTGAGCCCAGTGTAGCAATCACTCCTCAAAACTCCCCTTACAAGGCAGTATGTTGCAAGCTTTGGAAAGGAGCACTGAGAAAACTCCATTCTACACGATTCCCATCCAATTTGCTTCTCACTTCTGTTGCCGTCTAGTCATGGGACACAGCTTGGGAGGAGCAGGTGGTACCATTTAAACTCTCCCCACCCTCAGTGGCTCCTCCTACTGGTAGTATCTCCTTCCTGCACCCATGGTCTGGCAGCACCTCCTCCATGTCCCAGCTAGCTCTTATCTCATCAACTTCCATGCCTTCCTATTGGTTCCCAAGACCTTGAACAGATCCCCACTGCTCAAACTCAAGAGAATATTCAGTTTCTTCTTCTGAATCTGTATCAGCGAAAATGGCATGACAAGTGTCCTGTGGGCATGCTCACAACATTTATACTGTATATCACCCTTCCCTAGCCCAATACGCATCCACTGTGTTGGACTGCAACTCCCATCATTCCCAGCTAGTGGCCATGCTGGCAAGGCAAATGTACCACAACACATACGGAGGGCACCAGATCAGTTGATGTACTTCCTGTGCTGATTAATGTTGATTTTTATTGTGTTTCTATTTGTTTTATTTTATCATGCACTCTGCAAGAGGAAAAAAGGCAGGATATAAATGCAATGTAACAATAATATGATCATCATTATCTGCCCAGAGAACATTTTGCTACTGGGAAGAATAAAAATAAGAACATACTCGCTCACTCAATCAATCAATCAATCACTCAATCAATCCCAGCTAGAAGCCATACTTGTAGCCCTCCCAACAGACAGTGCAATGCTGATAAGGCTCTTCCCTTATCTGAGGTTACATTCTAACTTAAACACAGGGTGATTTTGCCAAGCCAAACATCACTTCGCATGTCAGTGATTTCAGCACAGCCTGTCATATATCAAGACTGAATATTAAGTCCTTCATAGACCCTCTGCCAGATTAACAATAAGGATAACAAGGAAGGAAGCATATGCTTTAAAAAAGCACATTTTTCTAAATAAAAACAAACCCTAGCAAACTTAGAATCTGTGATGTGCTCCAGTAATAAACAACCATAAAGCCTACTTCCCTCATCACTCATTTGGACATTCATATTAGGAAAAAAAACTTCTGGAATCGAAATCAAGACCCACCGCATGTCCTTAACTATGAAGAACCTTCTTCCAGTTACTAATTAGGAGGTGCCAATGCTAACCCATTGAAATATGAATACGCTAGCTTTCCTTAATAAATCTTAACCCTCATACCTTGAGAACACATGGCAAGAATCTGCCCCTTCATGATGAATAAAGTAGAATTGGCTTTCCTCCTGCATCCATTAAACCAGGTAGTTGTGAATGATCACTCACCTTAGCACATGAGTCGACCCATTTATAGTAGTTGTGGAACAGGGGACCGTTTGTCCCAAGATGGAAGGCCTTCGGTATCGTTCATCCCCACAGCACAGGATGATGAGGAAGGCACGTCTGAAAGACTTGTTCAAGAATGCATACAGGAAGGGATTCAGTCCTGAATTGATGTATCCCAGCCACAAAAAGGCAGTCCATAGCTGGCTAGGAACATGGTAGTGTATGAATGGGTCTATTACATTTGTGATGAAGAAGGGTGCCCAACACAAGCAGAAGCACCCCATGATGATACAGAGGGTCTTGGCTGCTTTAGTCTCAGTCTTCATACGGTGTGTGCTGTGCTGATCAGGATGGTGAGGCCGCCCATCCGCCGGTGCCCCTGCACGCTGCAAAATTCGTATCTGGTGCGCATGCTCCCTGGCTGTAACATATATCCGGTAGTAGGCTAGCACCATTAGCAGGAAAGGAATGTAGAAAGCCACCACTGAGCAGGTGATGGCATAGGGCTTGTTGACCATAAATATGCAGTATGTTGCATTGGACACGTTGTTGAACTGCCTTTTCTCTATCTGAGGAGATGGACAAAAGAGCAAAGAAAGGTAGGGCATATTATAGCTTCTCTGGTACTTAAATCACTCTCTCTTCCTCCTTCTTGGCTTCATTTGCTCACCTACTAAATGAAAGTTAGCCTCAGCGGGTTTTGGATCTTTTTCCAGCAACCTTATTGCCCAATTATCCCATACTTCTTTAACTGCTATTGTTTTTCCTATCCAAACTTTGCTCTTCCACTTTAATTAACTCTGTTGAATGTGTTTCTTTGTGCATCATTTCTTGGAAAATAAGGGTATTTCTTCTTTGAGATATGAATATTGGGATGGGGACAATTTAGCAGGTAATCATTTTCTGGATGGACAATGGTGCCATGAAGAAGCGGCTTGGTGCCACTGGCATATGAGCCACAGCGCAGCTATTCCAGGATAGGTGCGTGAGAAAATACTTATCTGTAGTTACAGAGAGAAAGTAGGAGAGGGGAGAAAGGAAGTGAAATATTGACAGGCTGCTTAGGAAAACAAAATTGCATCTGTGGAGTGTTGAGGAAAATGGCACCAACCCTATTGCAACAGTTGTCGGTGGCTGACAGTGTGGAGTGTTCCTCCGTTTGCCTGTCGTTCTCCCTGTGGCACTGACTGTGACAGGCAGGGTGATTGTAAAAGTCTTGACAACTGCAGAAGCTGCATGGTTGTGTCTCTAGTGGTACATGAACGAAAGGCAGTAGGTGCAAAAACAAAACATAGCAAAACAAAACCAACACTCGGATCTGTGCCTCATGGAAACAGTGATCACTATGCCTTGGGCTTTCCTGATAGCACATTGAATAGTGGGCAAGAAAGGGCAAATTCCTGTCAGTACGGAGAGGGGAATGTTGTCAATGTGCAGAAATGAGAAGAAAACTGGAAGGAAAGGAAGTCAATGAAAGGACAGAAATCAATAGAAGCAGAAACTCTTTCTTAACATGTTAGCTAAAGTGTCCTGGGAGGCAGTCTGATTGCCATTGTGCTTTGTCAATCACTCAGCATCCTTGACAGATATAGAGATTTCTAGAATGAGTTAACAGAAACATTAACATCTTCTCCATATGAAGCACTGGTGTCACTCTTTCCTTAAATATTTCCTTTCCTTACTAATGGTTTAGACTGTCCAGTATTATGTCCTGTATCATACTAAAATGCTTCTGGATAAAAAGGCAAATGGGCATGCCAGGGACTAGGAAAATAGGCCATTAAGAATAAAAGGAAGCATCAGCTCCTGAAACTAAAGATGCCAGATTAGGTTTTGTGGTTGTCATTATGTAATGATGGACCTGCCAAAAAGAAAGATTCCCTCAGAGCCATAGGGAGAAGATGACTTGATAATTTGCTCTTTGAACTATGAGGTTTATAAGTTTGCAGGTGTGTAGAAGATGTGAAAAAAATCACTGTTCTTCTGGTTTCTTACCCATAGAAAGACCTTTAAAAAAAACCCCTGGAAACTGTGGCTATTGTAATTTTAAGGAATACTGTTGAGAAAGAGCGTTCTGGAAAATTAACCTTATCAAAAAATCTAATGATCCTTAAATCTGGATACTAGGCAACAATCACAAGCCAACGTGGTATCAGTTCTATTTTTATGAACAAGTCAAGAAAATAAATTACTTTGAAGTGATTCAGTGCGAAGGACTGAATATAAAACTTTACAGACTGTTTCAGTTCTAACATTTGGTAAGTAGTCTTCCATTGTCCTTGAGTTTAGAATAACAATGTTTAATAGAGCCACAAGATATTTCTGAAGGTCATCTATTGAGCCAACCCTGTAAACTCTAGCAGCAAATAGAAATCTCACCTTTAATAGTCATCTAGCTCACAGTGAGCCACAAATGCAAAAGAAGAAACAGAATCTTACAGAATTCAGCTGCAGTGCAAAAATTATTTTTATTAAAAGCAAATGGATGGCAGAGGCTTCAGATTTTACAAGGGAAGGTAAGCATTCCTCAGTCCTACAGCTAACACTATGACATAGAAGGAAATTGCTACTCTGACCCCAAGAATGAGAGAATAAATAATCTGGAAGCAATTGTAAATATTTATTTGGAATTTCTTTTCCAATCTCCTTCGGTGGGATTAATATTATTCAAAGAGAAAAGGGAAGTTGGGCAATATAAAATATGTTTGCAAGGATAATATGGAATTTACTTCTCATCATACAACTGTGATCTACTTACCAAGTCCATTATGCCAATGCTATTCCAGCCTTGCATTATAGGGAGAAAAGAAATAAACATTGGGATTACCCAACATCCTCCCAGCATCAGAGCAATACGCAGTGGAGTCATCTTATTCCTATAAACCAGTGGTTGGCAGCAGATAGCATAGTACCTGAAAGAGGAAAGAAAGTGACATCATTCTGAATAATGGGAGTAAGCTGAACAAGAACTCTTCCAACCCCTTCCTATCAAGCCACCTTTAAAACACTGTTCTCCCACAGGAAGAAAGAACTAAATATGATGGACAGAGTATTATCACTTTAATTAGCCATATACCTGAGTCAAGTTACATAGGTCATGATGGCTTTAAGCAAAGCTGATCTTTTGTGCTCTTTCTACACTCTCTGAGACACATTATAGCCCTTCCCCTCTTAAGCACATTCTCCAAGATATTTCAGTGGTTTTCTAATAAAGCCATATATGTAGATGGGGGCATGATTACCTTCTTTACACATTTCCATGGTCTAAGAAGTATTTTCTTATTTGTGAGAGACACAGAATTGGTGGACAGAAATTTTTAGCCACAGTACCAAGTAAACTGAAAACTGGATTGAAATTTGCAATTATATTCTAACCAAAGTTCCTACAAACCCGTTCAAACCCTAAAATCAGCTGCAGAGGCCCAGCTCACAGAACCACCATTAGGTTCAGAATCACAGGAACAAAGGCAGGGCTTTTCAGTGGTAGTCCCATCTTTGTGGAACTCTTTCCTGCAGGTTGTATAGTTTCTCCCCCCTTTTTAGCTGTTTTACAAAATGGATGTTGTTGTTGTTACACAGAAACATGTTTATTCTTCTGTCCAAATTTCTTCCTGTCATCTTCCTTCCCTGTCCATACATAGTGAATGGGAATACAATAGCATGGAAAACTTGGCCTTGGTCTCCAGTGAAACATCCTTACACTGGATGATTTTTTCCAGTTCCTTCATTGTTGCTCAAATCTTAGTCTTCTTTGAATTTCTTGGCAAGTTTCCATTTGACTTAATGACCGAGCCAAGATATGTAAAATGTTTCACATTTTTATTCAAATTAACGATATCGATCATACATAGATAATAGATTTTTAAACTGCCACTGCTTACTGTTTCTTTTCCTCCTGCGGAGTGCTAGAAAAACTGCTGGAGGAATGCCTCTATGCCGCTTTTCAGTGTTTTATGTTTTACATTTTTAATTGTTTGCATGAGCTTTTCTGCTATGAAGCCAGGCATAAAATATTGCTGCAAACAAAAGATGGAGCACCTTGGCCAGTTCTCTCTGGCACTTTTCACCTGGCAACAAGCAAGCTGCCAAATCATCTTGCAAAACAGAAGCGGGGCTTGCCTAAACCCTGATGGCCCTGCACTGCTCCTGATCTCTCCCATTCTGAAGAAGAAATAAAAGGGGGTTGTTTTTAATGATCCTTGGAATTTCTAGTATTCAAGAGAAGCACTTTAAGCAAAGTCACAAGACAGAAACAAATGAGATACTGCCTTCCAGCAGTTTGCAGGAAACAGGTGGAGCAGGTATGCCATTTGAGAAAACCAAATCCAAAGCCCCTCTTTGCATTCAGACATAGCTGCGTACTTTTTGATCCTGGATCCTGCCATTATTACTGTGCATACAACATCATCTGGGTAAATGGGTTTTTTCAGCACAATGGAAAACTCTGGAGTAGGCTCCTTAGCAGTAAAAATGTCAATATTTGGTAAATTGGGAGACAGCTGTCATTATTTGAACCACAGGAAAGCAAGATTTTAAAGAACATTCTAATGACTGTTTCCTCCGTCGAGATCCCCCCTCCCACTGGTATTTATGCTAAATGAGCGGAAAGATCTGCACAGGTGGTCACACGCTGGTAGGAATAAAAGGCTCTGCACAATAGTCAGCACTAAGCACGATGTAGTACTTATTGGTAGATGGAAAAAGGAGATAATGAAAACCCACTTTCCATGTAGGGAATCTTCCAGGAGAAGAGCTGCTGGCTGCTGACTGTTGGGTTTTTGCAACTGAGGCACATAAATCATGAGCTTACCAAGGGCACAATCCCAGGCAGGGAAAAGACTCATACCGTTCCCAGCATTTCCCTGCTAGCTGTGCTGGCTGGGGACTGCTGGGAGCTGTAGGGCCTCTTCCTGCCTAAGCAGGCATTGGGCGACATTCTAAATGGGCTATACTTGAAAGTGTCCTATCGTGCTATCAGGAGCCAGTCTCTTCTCGGCTGCGGGGTTGGACAACGAAGAGGGTGCCTGCAAGCTGAACACGGCCATGAAGACTACGGTCCTCTGCATCCAAAGCACGGGAAAGCAAAGACAGGTCTTGGATCATCCTACTTCATCCTGGTGGGAAGCCACATGCCCACTCCCTGCAAAGAATAGGGGGTTTTACCATGCACAGTCATTTGAGGGATGCAGAGGAGTTTTCCAGGATCTGTACATGGAGCCATCCCCTGAAGAGTGATGACCTATAAAGCCCTAAACGGCTTGGGTCCCGGCTACCTGAAGGAGCGCTTACATCCATATTTGCCCAGCCGCCCCCTGAGATCTGCGGGAGAGGCCCTTCTCCGGGAACCCTCCGTGAAAGAAGTTAGGAGGGTGGCTACTCGGAGGAGGGCTTTCTCAGCGGTGGCGCCTAAGTTATGGAATGCGCTCCCCAGAGAGGTCCGCCTGGCGC